CCCCCCCGGGTATAGCCATGACATGTTTTACAACAGGCAAAAGATCAAGAAGACAGGAAAGAGAAGTCGTATGTATCAGTTACCGGTAGTCAACAGAGAAGCCAATCTCCGGCCCTTTTCACCGCCGAGGTACAAGTCATCATCGGTAGTCTCCCTCGCCATATCTACAGCCTCGTGGTAGGCGCGGGTGACCATGTCCTCGTCGACGCGAAGGCCGTTGTCGACGAGGGCGAGGACGACGCTGCGCATGCGGGCAATCTCCCGCATGGTGGCGGTGTCTATGTGATCGTTCTGGCTGGAGTAGACGTTGGCGCTGAGCGTCTCCTCCATGCGGTTGACGCCGGCGGCCTCGGCGGCGACGTTGGATTCGACGTGCCTGCTGATCCAGACGTAGCCGTTGACGCCGAGGATGACGTCAAGGTTGGCGGAGCCGTTGGCGGCCTCCATGGTCCAGACCTGCCTCTTGGACCGGACGACGACGCCGCCACCGCCGCCGCCGGCGACGGCGACGAAGACGCCGTTGCGGAGCTTTCCGTACCGGAGGCTGCGGGTGTGCAGGCTCGCGGCGCCGTCCTGGTGGAGCTGCTGCACCTCGGCCACGACCAGGTCCCCCTCCGAGAAGAAGCTGCGGATCTGGAGCTCGTCCGTCTCGGTGCGCTTGCGGAGTATGCCGCCGGGGAGGTTGATGGCCGAGATCTGCAGTATGGCCAGCTGCGAGGCCGCCACGTCGACGCGCCACCGCTTCCCCTGAACCTCGACGATGCGGCCGACAACCAGGTCGCCTATCTCGGGCGCGTACCGGGCCCGGAGGGGCCGGACGGACAGGAGCTTGTTCGTCTTGGTCAACGTACCGGCTAGGGAAGAGGTTATGCTCGATGAGAATGATGGGACATAAGTTCCGTGGCCGCTGTGTTTTTTTTTTGTCAGGACACCTTTGATTCTCTTTCCTTTTTCCCCCTCGAAGAAGAGGAGAAAGGATAAGAAGGTTTTTTTTTGGAGGGGGGGGGGGGGAGGGGGGAGGAAGCATCTCTATTAGAACAGAACATACCGCATCCATTGTGGGTTGGACGTTATGACGGTTCCTGGGGTGAGAATCTCGTCGGCTAGACCATCGTCATCTGTGCCCCGTCGCTTCTGGAATGAAGCCAGGTCAGCACCACCGCCGCCAGAGTCTGAGTCCGAATCTGAGTCCATGTCCACGTCTGACGGGGCAGAAGCGGCGGGTTGCCGTTGTGGTGGCCCTTGAGGACTGAGAATTGTGATGGGCATTTCTTTTCTTTTTTTTTTGGGGGGGGGGGGGGGGGGGGGGGGGGGTTTTTTTTGCTGGGGGGGGGGGNGTTGCCGTTGTGGTGGCCCTTGAGGACTGAGAATTGTGATGGGCATTTCTTTTCTTTTTTTTTTGGGGGGGGGGGGGGGGGGGGGGGGGGGGGGGAGGGGGGGGATGATGTTTTTGCACTGAGGAGTAGCCGGGGCTTATTTTTCTTTTCTTCTTCTTATTTCCTTCCCCCCTCTATTGAGAAGTGGAAACTAAGATTCGAGATGAATTGGAAAGGTTGGAATCGTCCTTTTCGTCGAAATATTGGAACGTTGCTTGAACAGTGAAGTGAGTGAGTGACGTCGTCACGTGGTTGGTGTGTATGAAGTTCCAAGTATGAACATCCCAGAAGTTTTAAAGTCCCACCTAAAAAAAGTAGAATTCTGGATTTTGGTGATTGCCATGCCATGTGCTAGTGCTATTGTACTGGTTATAGGTGTTCAGACACGCAAATAATATAGTCAACTTTTCGCCCCTCCAAGGCAGTTATTTTGCTGTATATTGAATCGAAAGGATAGACCAGGAAATAAGAAACGATGACCGGTGAATATAGTTACGACAGGAGTCAAGATCTATTTATTCAGCAAAACTTTTTTCAAGATTTAGTGTAGGGTACATACGCAAGAGAGAAAAACAAATGAGGCTACGGTTTTCATGATGGAAAACTACAAATGGAAATGGCGATGTAAAAATAAAAAAAAGTAAAATCAAAAAAGAAATAAGCCTAGCAATTCTACGTTTCGATCGTAGGACCTCCGGGTTATGAGCCCGGCGCGCTTCCACTGCGCCAAATTGCTTTCTGTGCTTGACGTTGGGTCCTCACAAGATGTGGATTAAGAAGATTTGCCTCGCCGTCGTGTGAGTCATGTGTGCAGTGGGGGCGCTCCGATATGGGCGCTACAAGTCGCGTGCCGCGTCTGTAGCTGTAAGAAGACAGCATATACTGGACAATGATACCGTGTCTCTGAAAACAATGTTCTTTGGAAAGAACTGCTCTTGTGAGCCATATTTAGAACGGCATCGCATCATGACAATGCTACTGGGTTCTTAGTGAGAACAGAAGTCGTGATCAGCATCGTATGTAAAACACTGTAATGCAAAGAACTAGCCAGGCCAGACATCCATTTCTCCACAGCCATACGTGAAATCACCAGCGATACTCGTACATATTCATACACCCAAGAGATACATCATGTAATAGTACAAAGGAAACTTCCGGTCCCTCAATAGGAAGGAAATTCCGTGGTCTCATCATCTGTCCCATCATTTCACGGCTCGCCATATCCCCATCCACATGAGCACCAGCGAAATACCAGCCACGCCAGCCTTGCGGCTCCTCATGCCAAACATGGAGCCGCTCTGGAGAATCTTGGCCCTCTGCTTCTCGAGCTGCGACATCCCCGAAAAGTAGCCATATGCCGAGAGACCGATGAAGACGCCGCTGCCTGTGCATGTGTGTGTCAGTTTTCAACATCAACGCTGATGGGCCCCAGGGAGGGGGGGGGGGCGCGAGCAAACTTGCCGACAATCTTGCAGCCTAGACAGTCTTCAGCGCGGTCCCGACGTAGGACATCCTGGAACTTTTCCGGCTGCTCCAGAGACTGAATTGAGGGTATTTTATCGGCACCCATTTCGAATACTGGATCGAGATTTCGCTCTTGTATCACCAGATGTTGCAGGTGTGTGTGCTATGCGTGTCTGCACTGTCAGGACCGTCGTATGTTGCTGGTACCAAAAAGATACCGCTATGACCCAGGCTGTACATGTATGCGCATATACGGGGCAATGATTGGTACAGATCGATTAGTCATATCCCAACCGCCGCAGCGCAGCCAACTTCGTCATTGGAGGCCAGTTGGATTCCCACGGCGAGCCTCTTTGGTGGGATGTCGAAGCTCCCGCAAGGCTCCGCCCGTATCCTAGGGCGCTTCACCCGCCGCGCGACACGATGAATGGCGTTATCGAGGCGCTGCACATCTACGATGATGCGCGGTGGGTTCTTTCCCTTCCATACCACTCGTCTGAGCCAATTCCCCTCTAACCCTGTGACCTTGCTCTAGCAGTCCAATCCTCTCACACACGTATACCGGCCGCCCGCTGGAGGCCGCACACCTGCTCCCCCTCTACCTCGAGCATCCTGCCCCCCAACCGAGCCTCATCCACCTCCCCAACACGAATCCTCCGACGCTCATCTTCAGCCTGACACATGCCAACCTCCTGCTGCTTGCCACCTCGTCGGCCGAGATCGAGCCCCTCCTCGTCCTCGAGTTCCTGCATCGCGTCGTCGACACCCTCGAGGACTTTCTCGGCCCGCCGCTCCTGGCCGTCAAGATCGAGAACAGCTATGATGTCGTAGCCCAGCTTCTCACCGAGATGTGCGACGCCGGCATCGTCAGCACGACCGAGCCCAACGCTCTACACGAGGTGGTGGCTGTGGAGGGCTGGGTTGGGAAGCTCCTAGGCAGCATCAACTTACCTGGGTAAGACAAGATACCCCTCGGGGGGGGGGGGGGGGGGGCGAAAAAGAAAGAAAAAAAGAGGTCTACAAGGCTTGCAAGGAACTAACAGCTGACATACACAGGAAAACTCCGTCAAATCCTAACCTAGCCGCGCTGGCCAATCCGTCCCTCTCAGCATCGAGTGCTCCCGCCGTCCCCTGGAGGCGATCCAACGTGCGCCACACGTCCAACGAAATGTACGCCGACGTGGTTGAGACGCTCTCCGTAACCCTCGCGCCGTCGGGCCGTCCCCTCGCGGCCTTTGCCAACGGCACCATTGCCTTCAACTCCAAGGTGTCGGGCGTCCCCGACATCACCGTTTCCCTGACTAGCTCCGCGGGCAAGCACAACGTCGGCAGCGTCATGGAGCTTCCCGTCTTCCACCCGTGCGTGCGCCTGAACAGGTGGAGGGAGCGTCCCGGCGAGCTGAGCTTCATCCCGCCCGACGGCCGCTTCATCCTGGCCGGGTACGAGGTCGACCTCCTCCCCTTTACCGGCAGCAAGAGCGCCAACAACAGCGCCAACAACCTCAAGCTGCCCGTCAACTTGGAGATCAAGACGGGCCTGGGCACGTCGGGCTCCGAGTTCGAGGTCCGCCTGCAGGCGAACAGGGTGCGCGGCTCGACGGGCGGTGCACCGCCGTCCGGCCAGCTCGGCAGGGGGGGTTATCACCCAGGGACGCCCTCCGCCCCGCTGCTGGAGGACCTGACACTCACGATACCTCTGCCCGCCGACGTGCGCAACCTGTCGGACATACGACCCAGCAAGGGCGACGCCAGCTTCAACCCGGGTGACAAGGTGCTGGAGTGGCACGTGCCCGCCAGCGCGATGTCGGGTCCGACGAGCTACTTCAGCCTGCGGTGCAGCGTAGTTGGCCCGCCGACGGCAGACGACGTCGACGGCAGCGGCGCAGATATGGACACCAACGGCTTCGGCCTCGGTACAGACTACTCCTACAACGAACCGTACCAGAGCGGTGGCGGCAGCGATGCTGCCACTGCGGCTGCCAAGAAAGGCGGCGACATGGGTGGTGACGGCAACGATGAGAAGGATGCCAGAAAGATGGAGCAGAACAAGATCCTCATGCCCAGCTCGGCATCCGTCAGCTTCTCGATAAAGGGCTGGCTGGCTAGCGGACTCAAGGTTGAGAGCATCCTGATTGACACGAGGAAGAGTCGTGGGCTGGGCGAGGGTGTCAAGCCGTACAAGGGCGTCAAGTATCTCACTGTTAGTAAGGGAGGTGTCGAGTTACGGTGTTAGCCTGGAAATAAAGCAAAAACAACAAGATTCAGAGAAAGGACAATCTACTACAGGCTCTTTCCCCTTGACATCGAATCAGAGACTTAGCAGACAGCAACTCATCAATTCACTGTCCTGGGTTGAAAAAAAAAAAAAGCACGGAGCATGGAGAGAGGTGAGTGGGAATTGTCGGCTATGTGATCCATTTTGTGTCGGACCTGTGGGGAAATCAATCGACCCCCAGCCCCTAAGCTCAATCGGTCGGTCGGCTCCCCGCAGACGTCACACTCCGCCCTTTGACCTGAAGAAGTGCGCTGCCCCGGACCAGTAATTCCCCATCATCTCTCCACATTACAGACAAAACAGGCGATCCCCCCTCCCCCCCTCCCAACCGACAGGAGAACGGCGGATCGTTCAAAAGAGAAAGCGAGGGAGAGAAAGAGAGAGAGAGAGAGAGAGAGAGAGTAAATACCAGCGCTCCTGCTGGGAATACATGAGGGCGTCGTCTCGGCCGGACTGAGCTCTCTTCTGCAAGTCGCTCGGCCGCCGATGGCGATGAATCGGATTGCGACTTGGAGCTCGCGGCGGCGGCCCCGGACGACCGGGGCACACATGAAGACGGGATTTACGCGACACCTACCACGCCAACCACAACCGACGATAGTACAACTAATACGGTCAAGCCAACAGCAGAGATGGAATTCAGGACATCACCCCAGGGGACCCAAGACGGCCATCTTCTTCCCCGGTGCGTCTGCTCACTGTCTACGAAACTCGGAGGCCTCTTCTTCTTCTTCTTCTTCTTCTTCTTCTTCTTCTTGCTTTCGCTCTTTGCTAACAACCTTGGGTACAGGCCAAGGAGTGCAGAGAGTGGGCATGCTCACTCCATGGATCGACGCCTTCCCATCGATAGCCAACGAGACGATTGACGAGATAGACTCGGTAGTAGGGTACAAGCTGTCTGCCGTGATACAGAGAGGGACATCACGGGAGCTGACGCGGACGACGCGGTCGCAGCCGGCCATCATGGCGACGTCGATACTGATACTGCGGGTCCTGGAGCGGGGGTTCGGCTTCCGGGTGCCGGACCACTTCGACTTCACGCTGGGGCACTCGCTGGGCGAGTTCGCGTCGCTCGTCTCGGGCGGGTACATGAGCTTCCAGGACAGCCTGCGGCTGGTGCAGCGGCGGGCCGAGGCCATGTCCGACGCCACCCGGCGGGCCGTCGACAGCTACGGTGGCGAGTACGGCATGGTGGCCATCGTCACGGAGCCCGAGTACCTGCAGCCGCTGATCCGGGCCATCGAAGAGTTTGTCGGTCGGTCCAGGACGGGGGCGGGCGGCGCCGAGGGGGGCGAGCTGGCACCCATACAGCAGGTCCTCATCGCCAATGTCAACAGCAAGAACCAGATCGTCTTGAGCGGGTGCATAGAGCGCATACGCACGCTCGTCACGCACGTGCGCCAGTTCCTGGGCCACGACCCCCGCGCCGTGCGGCTGCACAGCGACAGCCCCTTCCACAGCCCCATCATGCGGCCCGCCGTGTCGGTCGTGCGCAGGCTCCTCGACGGGCCGAGCGTGACGGACCCGGCCGCCGGCATCGTCGCCTTCCCCGGCCTGGTGCCCTGCGTCAGCAACGTCACCGCCAGGCCGTTCCGGAGCGCCGAAGAGCTCAAGAACCTCGTGTCCAGGAGCTGCCTGGAGACGGTGCGCTGGTGGGACAGTATCAGGTACCTCGACCAGGAGGAGAAGGTGCGCAGGTGGGTGGGCATCGGACCGGGCAAGGTCGGGCGCAACCTCGTCGGCAAGGAGGTCGGTATGAGGGGCAAGGATCTCGTCAAGGGGGGCGGCGTCTGGGCCATTACTGCGCCAGCGGAGATTGAGGAGGTCCTTAGGGGCTTGGAGGAGACGGACGGGATCGCTGATGAGGAGGATGATTATCTGTTGTAGAATTTGTGTTTTTTTTTACAAAAAAAAAAAAAACCTCTTCTTAATTCTTACCATTATTACTCCTTGATAAAGGAACGAATTTCCCTCCCACTTTTACGTCTTCCCTTTTGTTCTTCTCAGTTTGATTTTATTGTCTTCCTTCTTTCTCCTTTGGCCGTGTGTTGTTTCTGCTTCCCATCCATTATGCTGCTTCAGTTAACCGCTGGCGGGGCACATTTATAGTCCCACTACAGTCCGTAGACCAAGCTTCAACCTCTCCTTTCCCCCACACTCAAACCCTCCATCCGACACGCAGCCACCACCATGACGACCTCTATACCATCCATCGCCTGTCTAGGCGTGATCGGACGCAACGTACGCCCACCCCTCCCCCCCTTTGCCTCCTCCTCCTCCTCCTTTCCTTTTCTCGCTCTGACAGAAGCCTCATGCTGACTCTCCCGGTCCCGCCCGCAGAACAACCCCCTCCACATGTCCACGTTCCCATCCTACGACGCGTCGACCAACTCCTTTGCCCCGATCCGCACCCCCCTGGAATTCTCCCTTCTCCTCTCGTCGACCATCGACATCTTCGACCTGCGCTCCCGGCACAACGCCGCCGCGGGCGTCGGTCTCTCGGGGGACATGGGCCTCCTGCATGCCGTCGACGACCGTCTGGCCGCCTACGGCTTCGAGACAAACACGGGCGTGAGGCTGGTGTGCGTGGTTGACATGCGCGGCAGGAGGGCCGCCACGGCCGCCACCTTAGCCTCGCCTGGCCTCGGCAGCGGGGGCGGCGGGGCTGGCAACGGCGGGGTCGGCAGCGGCGCCACCGCTCGTCCCGGCCTGCGTGATGCAGAGCTCAAGCCGGTGTTTAGGGCCATGCAGGCAGCCTACATCAGGCTGCTCCAGAACCCATTCTACGACCCGGATCTGCATGCGCCTCTGGGCGGAGGCGCGGGTAAGACAATTACTAGTAAGAAGTTTACCGAGGATGTGAGGAGGATAGGGGAAGGGTGGACGCCCGGGGTGACGAGCTTGTAATAGTCTCACTCTACCTACTCTTTTCCTTTAACTAGCTTTTATCAGGCGTTTGGCGGCTGTCGATTAAGCGTTGCATGCTCTGGGCTGTTCCCTTCTTCTTTTACGTATACATTTGAGAAAGAAAATCGGGTGGTGTTGATTCATGGTGTTCTCCTCCTTTTACCGTGCGTACTAATGATGATGCTAAATAAAAAGAAAAAATGAGACGGAAAAGAAGGATGGTGAGGTCTAATAGTAGTCGTGATTCTAACTGCCGCGTAGTAGAAGTAGCAGTAGTAGTATTAGTTAATAATGGTGGAACTGATGCTGCTGCCCGTCATCGCTCCTCTTGAGCTCCTCAACCTTCCACTTGGACAGGCCAGCCGGCTCGTCAATGTCTATGCTCTCGCCCATACCCTCACCGGAGGTGCGTTCGGGGAAGCCCTCGATGATGCCCCTGCGTGGTTGCGACGGCTGCCCCCCTTCCCAGTGGCGGGCCTCGACCGGCAGAGGCTGCCACCAGCTGCCCTGCCTGGCGTGCCAGTGCGCCCCGCACAGCTCCCACAGGCGCGACGTGGCCCTCTTGTAGGCGAAGCGCTCGTCCTCGCCCGTGAAGGCGCTCGCGTTGCTGAAGTCGACGGGGTGCACCCCCTGTAGGCCAAAATCGGAGTCCTGGTCCGGGTTGTACTGCGAGGTCGACGAAGGGGTGTCGTAGTACGACACGTTGGGGCGGAAGGGCGAGGCCTGGTCCTGGTACACCTCCGCTATCGTCTCCGAGTACGTTACGTCGTCCTCGTTCTCGTCTTTTACACCTTCGGCTCCGGCTCCGGTTCCTGCTCCCGCTGCCGTCGTGCCCGACTTCTTGCCCTGCCTGTCGGGGAAGAATAGGTCGTCCGGGGGGTTCTCGGCCCGGATGACGAGCTTGCAGCGTGCCTCGTACAGCGCGTCGAGCAGGGTGATGAAGCGTCGGGCCTCGTTCTTCTGGAGGACGGTGAGGACAGGGACCTCGTCGATGATGAAGGTGTGGTACGTCGACGCCATGGTGATGTAGTCTGCCGGGCCGAACGAGTCCACCAGGTCCTTGAAGATCCAGAAAACGGACCCGTTGTGGTACCATGGGCTTCGCACCGTGCGGCCGTACACGACGAACGACGAGGGCTCCCAGGGCACGGGGCCCGGGTTGGTCCAGGATACGGCGTGGCGCACCCGGTCGTTCCACTCGGCGCTCTCGTCGTCGGAGAGCAGGAAGAAGTTGCGCGGCCGCTTACGGCGCGATGCGGCGGACGCTGTGCCTTCCGAGCCGGCCGAGCCCGAGTCCGGTCCCTGCGTATCGCTCATCACCACGCTGAGGATGTCGGCCTCCTCGCGGCGCCTCCAGTCCTGGGCGCCCTCCATCTGCCAGAAGTCACACCTGGCCTTCAGCACGCGCAGGAAAATGGCAAAGTCACTGCTCTGGCCGTACAAGGCGCCCCTGGGCCGGGAGACGGCATCCAGTACTCTGCCCACCAAGCCGCCGCCACTGGACGGGGGAGGCGGCGCGTAGTGCGCTCCCGTTGCCCTCTCCAGCTCCTCGGGCATGCGGTTCGACGAGGCAACCAGGACGCCGCCCAGCTGGAAGAAGGCGATGAAGAGGTGGCTGAGGATCTTGCTGGCGGCGCGGTCGGGTAGTTGGAACTCGTCGAGGAACAGGATGGGCGACTCGTCGACGAGCTTCTTGGCCATCCAGAGGAGCGAGTGGTCCGAGGTCGCCGACGGCGATGATGACGACGACGACGCGCCGCGGCTCACGTCTTTCCGGTACGACTCGAGCTGGGATAGGGTGTAGAGCATGAATGTGTTGAAGTGCCAGCGCCGCTTGCGATCGGTGGGTAGCCCGTCGGCCAGCAGGTCCAGCAGCATGGACTTGCCCGTGCCTACCTCGCCCGACAGGAAGATGCCCCGGGGCGAGTCGATCTCTATGGCGGTCTCGTGGCTGTTGATCACCCTGGTCAGGGCGAGGCTGTTCTTGTCCTGCTGCGGGGTGGGGATGAGGTGGCGGAAGAGCGGGTTGCGCCAGATGGCGTGGCTGCTGCGGGCGAGGATGCCCCTCCCGTCGCCCTCGTCCTCGGCCGGCGGCCGACGCTCCGTCAGCCGAGCGACCTGCTGGAGCTTCTCGCGGTAGGCGTACTGTGGCGAGTAGTCTTTTATGCGCATGTAGATTGTGCGCAGGTGGCGGGCTAGCCGGTGCTGCGCGTGGTCCGGGGCGTACAGCCCCGAGGCGACGCCCGTCTGGTACTTGACCAGCGGGTCAGTGATGGTGATGGCCGTCGAGAGGGATCTCTTCATTTTCTCGGTAGCTTCCCAAGTTTTTTCGTCTTTGTCTTCGCAGGACCCGGCGCAAGCAAGGCTCGCATGTCGCTAGGCCTCCGTCTCTACTCTTTGTAAATGTTCGGCTCAAGGTGGGGGGGTTGAAGAGAAGGTGGAGGGGTTGATACCCCGGGGTGGCGGAACAGTACGTGACACCGTCTTACAGCCCTAAATAAGAGAGAGAGATGGAGAGGAACAAGAGAGTTTTAGATAAGCTCGTTGATGGCAAGAAGGAGAGAGAGAGAGAGAGAGAGAGAGAGAGGTAGAAATAGAGACGGGGGAGGTTAAGACAATAACAAGGTTCCAAGGAGGGGGGTGAATAAAAAGGTACGAGAAAAAAAATAACAATCCCCTTCCTCAGTCCGAAGATCGGATGTGCTGTTGGGGGCGTGGTTTGAATGTCGGCGACGCGAGGTTAGGCGCGGCTAGGCAAGTTGATTCTAAAGCCGTGAGAATGGCCGGTAGCGCCCAGGAAAAAGCATCACATTGAGTAGGTCTTGGCAGTGCGGTGTGTGTGCGATATGGACCCTGAGTATCACTCCGTACCCAGAAAGAGAAAGAAAGATTGGCGTATGCAGTACTGACAAGACAAGTACCAGGCAAACGGGATTCACCGCGGATCGTTACACGTCGAGATAGTAATGACGACTTCTGACGAGACGGAGTAGCTCGGAGAACCGATGGTGGTTGTTCGGCATTCAGTGGTCTTCCGATATTATCAGATTAGATCCACGTTGCGGCTGATTGATAAGGAAGAAAAAGCCCGTATGTAGCTACTCCATACTCGTACGAGTTACGAACGTACAATGAGCTTATTTGTAGGGGGGAATACATGCATCACGGGCAAAATCTACCATGAAAACTGACATCCACAGTTGGGACTCACCGATTGCGCTCTTTTATCTCTCCCTCCCTCCCTCCCTCCCTCTCTCTCTCTCTTTCTTCTGACCCTTGTACACTTGACCTCGAGAGCCCCAACCGGACGCAGTTTCATCCGGGATATATGAATAGTCGGCCCATCTTGACAGGAAGCGACCAGACTCGACAGCTTCTGCGCTCCGTCATCGCAACGACCATGAGGGGACCGACGCCTTCCTACGGGTCAATGTACAGAGGTCGAATGATATCACGTCACAGGTGACTGTGAGGTTCAGAGACGGCCGGCACTGTCCCCGATCATGACGAGAAGATATTCTATTGATGCTGTCTAATGGAACTGCCGACCACGTGCTCGACTAGTGGGCAGCAATTCGTGCATCATCGACTTGGGTGGCCGTACACCAGCAGGGACTGCAGAGGGGGGGGAGGGGGGGGGGGCGCATGCAAAGAATGGTCAGGTTTGAAGGGTGCCATGTAGCATCCCAATAGCCTGACTAAGCAACTAAGGGCTGCTATACGCACAACTGTATATAGCCTCATAGATTTGATCTCTTCCTTTCCTTTGCATCGAACAAGCAGCTAGACACACACTCATATCGACCCAGGATGTAAGGATGTATACGTAGACAGAGACCACCGTATTTGCGTCTACGGGTCATCGTGCGTTGTCGCCCCCGGAAGCACAGCCATGTCTGTATAGGGAATTCTATATTTCGTGTATCGTGTATCGTGGTCGGGGATCCCGGTTTCTGGTTCCTCTAATTTGCCATCATGTGCAGAAAAGCAGAGCTGTCCTCGTGTGCGGGACGTCGAACAAGGACAGTGTCGGGTCTGGCCATGCCGACATCAAAGTCGACATTAGCAAGACCGCGTACGGGGAATCGGGGCGCGCAGGAAGAAGACATCTGAATAATAGATAGGGTTGGATGAAGAGGGAATATCCGTGAGAACACACCACGAAGAAATGCTGACATGCGTGCAAGGTAGGTCAGGTGCTATGCGGTGTCGAGTCGTCGTCTTTTTATCACCGTGACGTCGGACTCGACGGTTTCACTGTCGAGTCTGGCTTACCTAATCCACATACGATTTTCTATGGCACCTGCGGCAACGGGCATCACGAGCATAGTAAAGCTCGATGAGATTGAGGTAGAGCTTCGCTTTCGGAACCTGGACTTTCCACACCGTCTGATGATCTAGGTTGCGGAACAACCATACAGGACTGTTGGCGTGGGAAATTTTACTGTTGCGGAACAGGCCGTAAAGGCTTCAGTTATAGGAGATGGAGAGCGTGCTTCTCAAGATTGTGTGTGCGGTTATCCATCCGTATAGACACCTGGGCTTCTCACCAACCCCCCCCTCGTTCCTTTTGAACTCCTACCGTCTTGACACCTTGGCATCGGTAGTTCAACGACTGTTCACGTCCCCATAACCCCCTCACCCCCGTGCCTAGGACATCGAGCTCTGCTGGTTGAATTGCCCAGATGCTCCTCGGTCAGGTTCTTGCACTCCTGGCCAGTTTCCCCTTTCGGTGGGCAAACCCCCCCCCCCCCCCCCCCCCCCCTCTCCCCCCAAAATGCAGGGCCTATTTACCGCTTCAGTGCGGGTGTAGCCTGAACGGCTCAAGCGATACCGAGTAAATGCATCGATGACGGGCCAACAAGCCAGCAACCGTCAAGTCCCTGGGTCTCTCTACCAATAACATGCCAGAGATCGCATCAAGGTACGTACTCCGTACGCGAGTGTGAGTACAGAGTACAGATTGCTCTGTTTGCTGGTGCCCGCTGCTGGGCCAATGCCGTACCAGTAAATCCGCTGTACCTCGTACCTCGTACCTCGTTCTTTTTTTTTTCTTTTCTTCTTGATGCTCCTCCTTGGCATTTGGGCAGAAAAAAGCTGCTGCATGCCTTTGTCCGATTTTTTTCTGTTTTGCCGTCGACATCGTCAATCCGCTCACCCAAACAACGAAATCCATCCCTTCATCTCTGTGCGAGGCGGCGCATATTCATCCTGCTACGCCCGAGATGCCCATCATCATCATTTGACAAACCAAACCGCCTCCATCTCGCTACGCAGCCGGCGCTCCTCACCGGCTGCTACGACGAGTAACAACAACACTACGTACCACTTACTCCCTAGCGCTCAGGTCGTGACGCATACCATAACACGCACCCACAACACACTTCACGCTCCTCTTGCCGACCGCTGCCCGCCTCCACCGACGCCGACGACGCCCATCACCCAGAAATGTTTTCGCCTTCGCGTTCCACCGGTGGTCCGGCCACGGCCACCCGCTCGCGACGTCGTCAGCGGCCCCTCAGCAGCGAGATCGCCACCCAGCAACCCAAGGTCAAGCGTCAGCGTGTCCCTCTGACCGAGCAGACCTTTGCCGACCCCGAACCTCAGCAGCAGACTCAGCAGCCGGACCCCCAGCCGGGCCAGCCTCAGGAACAGCGGCAGCAGCAGCGACGCCATCACGCACACAGCGATTCGATCGAGGTCAAGGCCGACAAGTCATTTGGCTATGACCAGAGGAGGAACAATAACGATGCTGAGAACCTCCAGCAGCAGCAGTCCACCGTGCGCCGCGATCTCAGCGTGCGCGCCAAAAAAACCAAGCATGGCGACCGTGCTGCCAACAAGGGCGACGGGAGCCTCGTCTTGGTACGTTCTCTCTCCTCTCCCTCTCTCTCTCTTTTGTTCCCCATCCCTCTTCCTGAAGAGCCAGTTGTTGTCTATCTCCCTGCAAAAATGCTGACCGTTCCTCTAGACGAGTACCGATGCCTACACTGTTAGCAAGCTGCCCGCCCTGCCCGATAGGATACGCTCCGACTGGTCAGGTAGGTAACGACTCCGATGCTGCACTCACCTCCGCATCCGCAGGCTCCCATCGTCTCTGCTCGTTTACTGACCTCATTCACAGCAGACCAACACGGCCAGATCTCGTCCTCGTTCGGATACGCCTTGACCCTGACCCCGACACACGCCATCGTCTGGCCCTACACATCGACATCGCCATCGCCCGAGACCTTCACCTTCACACTGCCGCCCACGTCGAAGCCCGCAGACCCCTTGCCGGTGGGATGCCTCGTCTCCCCCTCGGCCGCGTCTACAGAGCCTGGCCTGGTCGTCGTCATGGCCGCCACCGGAAGGGTCGTCTACTGGGAGTCGATATCCAGCGCCGCCACCTTTGCCTTCATCAAGAAGGACCGCTCCGGCGTCGAGTACGCCGTCCCCGGCATGACATCTGGCGAGAGGGTCGTCGACATCACCAGTGCCGAATCGGCCGGTTTCGTCCTGACCTTTAACACTGGCCGTCTCGCCTACCTCAACGTGCGCGACAACCATGGCCGCCCCGCCGTCTCGGCTCAGTTCTTGCGGTCTGGCCTGCCCACCACCACCAGCTTCCTTGGAAGCATCCGTCACGCCTTTTCGCATCTGTCTCTGCGCGGAGACATTGCCGCCGTACGGGCCGACCGGGCTGCACGCATCGGCGAGAAGAACATCGTCGCTCTCGGCAGCAAGGGCAGATTCCAGGCTTGGAAGATCCACCGCGGTGGCCACAACGAATCCCTCGGCGAATTCGACATGCGCGATGAGATTGTCTCGGCCCTCCGCGAAGCCGACCCCAAGAGCCACGACTTCACCGGCGATTCCTTCGAGGCCCTCGACTTTACATTCGTCCCCAAGGGCTTGGAGGCCAAGTACCTCGAGCTCAGCAGGCTCAGCCAGGCCATGGCCATCGACGATCCCGCCCTCCAGCACCTCGTCGCCCTGGTTTCCCTGACGAGGAAGAGCACGTCGCGCTACGCCCTTGTCGAGGTCATCCTCTCCCCCGACGGCTGCCAGGTCGGCATGATCCGTCCCATCACATCCTACACAACGCCAACCACCCGCTCCGACGTCTCGCAGACCATGAGACCCCGACTTTACCTACCCCGACCCGCCCTCGTGGCCTTTGTCATCTTCGACCGGGCTGCCGTTGTCGCGTCGGTAGCCGTGCCTCCGGAGTCCCCCGACTCGCAGCTGCAGGTGGACAACCACATGGTCCCCTCTTCGTTCGAGGACGTTGTGGATTTCCGAGAGGACCAGGTCCACGAGATCCTCGGCTCTGGTTTTGAGGAGACGCCCTCGGTCTCAGCCGATACCCGCAGTCGCCGCCAAAAGGCCCAGAACCCCGCCGCCGTGCTCCTCGTCCGCGGCGCCGGCGTCATCCGCCTGGTCACGTCCGATATCGACAAGTTTGCCAGCGAGCAGGCCCCCTCGGTGACGGCCAAGAGCAAGCTGGAGCAGGCCGTCTTCTTCGGCGCCAAGCAGGACAACCCCCTGATCTTCGGTCGCCGACAGGAGATCAGGTTCCCCAGCGAAGAGGTCGGCCGCGCTGCCCTCGAGGTCAGCCACGAGATCCTCAGCTCCACCACACACTACCTGTCGACACTGCCCGCACATCTCGAGGACAACCTGCGGGCACGGTCGCAGGCCCTGAGCAGACTGGTGGACCACCTCCGCGTGACGGGCGCCAAGCTCAACCGGGCCACGCGCTGGGAGCTCCTCTTCAACGCCGAGAAGATGCATGTTGCCACCCTGCTGTGGAAGCGCCACGAGACCTTCACCGCGTCCCGCTCGACTGACGACAAGAAGAGTCTGGTGGGATCCATTGTCGAGTTCATCCACGACGATCAGAAGCACAAGCCCAGCGCCAGGGTCGGCCAGGTCGACCCGGTGCGCCACTGGTTCGTCAACGACATCTTCCGCCTCGACATCTTCGTCGCCTGGGCGTACGAGGTGATCAAGGTACTCTACAGGGACCGTCTGCTGGACGATGCCAAGGTGACGGTCATGCTCCAAGAGGCCATGCAGATCGCGACGTGCACCCACGTCGCCGCCATGGAGTTCCGCCGCGGCAACCTGCTGGCATACGGGCTCGACGGCGAGGAGCTGCGCAACGGTGTCATCGTCAGGGGCTACGAGGGTCTTCCCGAGCCCTGGACGGCCACCCACTACGTAGCCAACAACGCCCGCCGACTCGTCGACCTGGCTCAGCAGTGGAACGACAGCCACTTCGAGTCGAGGGGGCAGGAAGCCAGGACGCCCACCATGCCGGACCCCAAGATTCTGGAGAAGATCTACCAGGACCTCCCGGCGCTCACCGACGGCATGCTCACCTCCCTCCTCGAGCACGCCCGCTACGCACGGACCGCTACGACAGCCGAGGAGAGGCGCATGGCGCACGAGTTCGCCAAAGCCTACCAGCTGGACCGGTACGAGCGGCCGCGGTACCTCGCGCGCATCGGGCACTGGGAGCAGGCGGCGGCCATGGCCAAGAAGCACGGGTGCCTGGACGGTCTGGCGGCCATCCTGCTGGACCACACCGACAAGCTCGAGGCGGACATCGCGCAGCCCGGGGCGACGCCGGCGGAGAAGCGCAGCGCCACGGCCAAGCGGGAGGCCAAGAAGCAGCAGATCGAGGATGACCTGGCCGAGTTCGGCGAGGAGTTCGCCTTCCCGCTGTACACGTTCTTGCTGGAGAAGATCGGGGTGGGGGCGGTGCTCGAGTTCGAGCTCGACAAGCTGGGCTACAAGACCAAGTACCTGCGCAGCCGACCTGAGCTGGCCAAGATATCGTGGATCAACGACGTCGAGGTGGAGCGGGACGTGGGGCGGGCGGCCGACACGCTGCTGGGGCTCGCCCTGAGCAAGGAGCAGCAGGTGTGGAACAGGAAGGTGGAGCTGAGCCTGGGCAAGCTGGCCCTCCTGGCCGAGGCGGAGGAGCAGACGGCGGACCCGGCGACCGCGGCGACCGCGAACCTCCTCAGGATCAAGCCCGACGAGGTCCGGAGGGAGCAGTCCCTGGCGCGGGCGGACAAGGAGCTCACGGCCATCAAGATCCAGGAGCAGCTGCACGGGCACGTGGTGTCGAGCACGTACGGGGCCGTCGACGACGGCGCGGCCCTCAACTTCGCCATGGACACCCACAGCACCAACATCCCCCGCAGGCAAAAGGCCCTCTACCAGATCTTCGAGGACGGCATGAGGCGCCTCCTCGCCCACGAGGCCCTCGACGCCCTCACCCTCATCGACCTCCTGACCTTGGTGCATCTCAGGCCGGACGACGCGCCCAAGAACAACGGCAACCACAGCAACAACGGCGCAGGCGGCATCGACGGCACCGTAACAGGCGGCCTGGTAGCCGACCCGTTCTGGCTGGCCCTGTGCGTCGCGGAGGCGTGCTGCAAGCCCCAGGAGCTCAGGGAGGTGAAGCGTCTGATCTGGAGGAGGCTGCTCATCAGGGATGACTGGCCGCGCATCAATGATACTCAGCTCAAGGATGATACCGAGGTTTCCCTCCGACTGGCTGATACGACACTATTTGCTGCTCTGGCGGATTGTATACGATTCGGTAAGATTTCTATTTCCCTTGTCCTCGCTGCGGTCACCTTCTTTTTATGCCTCTCTTATTACGCGATACGCTCCGCTCGCCTTTCCTTTTCTTTTCCTTTCTTTTTTTTTGCTCTTATCCTCGCTACGGTCTTTTCAAAAAAAAAAAAAGACAAGACAGTATCTCTAACACTTTCCCAGAGGACCCACGCGAACCCTTCAGGCCTATGCCACCTAACGAAGCCAAGGGCGCCTTCACAGACGCCCTGGACCGCCGTTTCGGCGACTTTGACGCCGACTTCCAAACCAAGCTCCGCGACGCCATGAAGTGGGAGGACAAGATGCTCACCCAGTACGTCGAGCGTAACAGGCTATCCGAGTGGGTGAGGACTACATATGAGGCTGCTCAGGTAGAAGTGCAAAATGGTGTCTAGTCCTTTTCGCAGTTTTTTCTCTTTCTTCCTCTTTTATTATTTTTTTATTTTGTTCCCTCCTCGGGGCTTTTTCCCAAATGATGCTCTTTTATTTATTATTATCATGTTTCCTTTTACAACTCTTTTGTTTGTCATATGGCGTTTTTTTTTTCTCTCTTGTCTTTCATTGTTCAAATAGGTGGTGTGTCTATTCCCCCCCCCCCCCCCCCCCCCCCTTCTTCTGTGAATGTCAAGAATTCAAAAAAAAAAAAAAAACCCCAAGCAGAATGAAAAAAAAGGAAAAGTAAAGGATTGGTTTTTTCTTTTTTTCTTTCTTCGCGTCTAATCACATGTTTTATGTATCACTCTCATACAAAAAGGGAGAAACTGTATAGTTGACAAATGGATGATGTATGTTTTCTTCTTTCAACATTCCACATTCAACACTGGCTAGTTATCATGGACAGAGTACGACATTTAGGTGCGACGTAGGGACCAAATTCAAAATATGCTCAGTACATGAACTGCTCAAAAAGATACGCCGGGGGGGAAAGAAAGGGAAAGAAAAAAAAACAAGCCTTCTAGAATGATTCCATAACATTTTTTTTTAAAAAAAAATTAAGAAAAAAAAATCCTTTCCCCTTGATTCATGTTTCCCTTGATGCGTGTTTTTTTGTGCTTCTTTTAACCTGTATTGAAACAACTACCAGTCTGAGGAACAAACTCCCTTGACCTAAATCTAAACCTTCATCTTGCGACGCTTGCCAACCTGGGCAGAGAAACCGGTCTTGATGGCGGCGACACTGCGACGCGATCCGCAGTTGTTGCAGGTGATGAAGTATAGACGGTTCTCACCCTTGTTGAGTTCCGTGTCGGGGGATTTGCACGTCTTGCAAGTAACATATTCGACTGTGATTGATCTTGTCAGTGAGATGATATATAAGAGAGAGAGAGAAAGGACGTACTGATGTATTTCCTGACGACATTCTCAATCTGCTTCTGCTGGAAGCGACCCTTGATGACGAGACGCCTGCTTCCGTCGACGGAACCGTTTGTACCCAGCTCGGCAAAGAGGTAGGCGGTGACGTGCTCCTCGGTACGCTTCATGCGCTTGCAGATGTCGGCAATGTTGGCGAAGACGGTCTTGCGGTTACCCTCGCGCATGCACTGGGGCGGGGGGATCTTGTAGCTCTTCGTCCCGCTGAGGGCGTGGTCGGGGTTCTTCTGGGAGAGCTGGGCGAAGAAGCGGTGGAGGAGCATGTTGTAGCCGAGCTGCTTGGTCTCGTCGTGGGCCCAGATGCCGGTGCCGAGGTCCATGTCGCCCTCGTCGACCTGCTCGTCGGCGGGCTGGTCCTCGCCTTCGGCTGCGTCGCCGCCCTCCTTGCTGAGCTCGAGGGCCTTGAGCTTGGCGGTGAACTCGTCGTCGTCGTCGTCGGCGCCGGCGCCGATATCCTTGGGCGCCTTCTTCTTCTTCTTCTTCTTCATCGTCAAGTCCAGACCGCCGTCTTCGCCAGCAGCGCCGGTACCGTCCTCTTCACCGTCCTCGGCCTTCTTGACCTTCTTCTTCTTCTTCTTCAGGAGCGTGGGGTCGAGACCGCCGTCGTCGGCGGCGGGAGCGGCGGCGGCATCATCATCATTGGCGGCGGGGGCTTGGCTGGCATCAGTAAAGGCCTCTAGGGCGGCAGAGAGTGGCGGCGTACGAGGCGTATGGGACTGAGCCGTCTCCTTGGTCTCCTCGGGGGCGTTCACCATGGTGACGGAACCGTCTGCGTCGACTACGGTCTGTTCGTCTGTGAAGGAGACGGATTTGCGAGGTTGATCCTGTTGTGGTGGAGAAGGACGAGAGAAGAAGAATGACCAGATGGTTAGTATTACTTGGTTCCTGAATCGGATGATGTATACTTTTCTTCTTCTCTCGGTGACAAGGAAGAGAAATCTGACGACCACGATTGATTCGGGTACGGACCGTGTGGGGTTCGAATGAGTGTGGATGCGATGGGGTTTGTTCGTCGTAGTCTATGGGTTCTTGTGTGCGTGTTGTTGTTTGGGGAGGAATGTGAGAGGGAAAGGGAAAATTGAAGGTTGTGAGTCAAAAGGTCTTGTGGCGGATGGGAAAATGGTGGGGTAAAAATTATGGTGGTGGTGGTAGTGGTGGTGGTGGTGGTGGTGTTAGGTCTGGCGGTGCTGCACCGAGGGGTAGACTATCTTGTCATCTGTTTTTTTTTTCCCTTTTTCCTCTCCCTTTGCGTCACAAGGATCTGGCGGTTATTGGGATGGGGAAACAGAGGGAAAGATGAAGGGATGATGTATACGGTAGACGTAATAATAAGAAATGTATAGAAGCTTACCTCACCAGCCATTATGGGTGGTTGTTTCGTTATTGTCGTAGTCGCTGTTCAGATACCGAGGGATGCTTTGTCGTCTCTCGACTTCGGGCTGTGGCGTCACTGGGGGGGTGGGAACCGCGCGCGCTTTTGTGCGTTACGCAGGTGCGGTGTAGGTGCGGCTCGGATGTTTTTGGGGCGCGCGGGTCGGGAACGAGAAGCAGGCAAGGGGATTTTTGCGTTGACGTAGGGATCCAAATGGCGAGGAACAGACAAGGCCGAGTTGATGTTTCTGTCGTAGTGATAGAGAGGCGAGAGAGGGAGAGAGAGAGAGAGAGAGAGAGAGAGAGATGTTACTGAAAGGAAACTTGAAAGAAAGCCAGGATTGTTCGTGCCCAGCCAGACAGGCCCATTCATCAGTCCCAGAAGTCCCGCCGCCACGTCAAGCTCCTCTCTCGTGATTATCGTTATCAGCAGCAGCAGACAGCTTCTCAGCACAGCCACAGCCACAGTAGAGGGAGAGGTTACGCCGAGTCATGACCAACCCGCCACACTCATCAGGGCCAATCGATCCATTCACGTGATCCCGCGCTCAGTCAGCTCAAGCTCATTACATGTAATGCGTTGTGCCGTACTAGCAAAGTACGGAGGGAGCTGCTGGAGCTATTCGTCAGGTAGTACGTCCACCCAGTTAACCGACGCGAAAGCCGACGGGTTGAACCAAGCACCACCTCATTCAGCTGATCCTGTTCTGAATCGGAGCTTCAATATCATTCACCACCGAACCGGCATCGATTCTGGGAATGTAAAACGGGGGGGGAAAAAAAGGAAAAAAGGAAAAGGAAGAAGAAGAAAGGAAGGGTAGTCCCTGACCACTAACAACGACAATGTCTACCCCGTCGTCATACGCCGACCTGCGCGACCTGTCGCCCAATGAGGATAAGGATGATATCGACTCCCTCCCGTCCCTTTCCACCACCGACATCTACTCCGAGACGGAGTCAGAAGCCCAGGAGGAGTGGGAGAGGAGTCTGGAGCAGCTGCAGCTCCTTCTCACCATGATCGTCGTGCCCTTTGTCGGCAAGTTCTTCGGGCGCAAGTTTGCCTACTGGAGTGAGTCCTCCCCACCCCGAGGCGACCGGCCGGCCCGGCCTTGGCTCCTGACAGCTGTACTGACTTGACCTGTTCGGCAGGCTGGACGCGGTACATGGGCTGGGTGCACAATGTACAGGTCCGCATCACGAGCCCAAAGACCTTCAACGCGGTCGGTGCTGCCGAGGTTGCTGCCACGCTGTAGAGCGCCCGGTGTCTTCTATGCAGCAAGGACGACAGAGAGACGAGACGCTCGAATGCTGAACCATCGCCGCGCATCGGAAGGAGACCCATCATCGACACATGGGGAATGTACGGACACGGACACGTTTGCCGAGGAAATGACACGACATGTGATGCCGTGCAAAAGGGGGGGGGGGGGGTTGGGTTGTCTAGGCACGGGGAGAAGCTGTCGATGACGCGCACCGTCTTCATCAATACCGACGGTCTCAAAGGCCCAAGGGGGGGAGCACGGATAGGAAGAGAGGAGCATCGAGGGGACTCAAAGCCAACATCTACCTACACTGAACAGAAACAGGAATGGAATTAGACGTGTGAACACCTCCATCCCTCCTGCCCGCGACGCTATCAACATGAGGATTTGTATTACAGCAATCATATCATATAAAACGGGTCCTATCTGACAAGAAGAAGAAGAGAAAAAGAAAACGGAGAAGAGCTATACCCCCCACCCACCCCTAATAAATTAACCCCCAAAACCTAATGTCCCATCATGATAAGAAGAAAAAAAGGAAAAGAAAAAAAAAGTCATATACACTCCCGGCCCCCCACCCAACCAAGCGATCATGTTCATATTGCCCCCGTCCCTCCCTCTACACGGGCTGGGACATGTTGGGACGGCCAGGAGGAGACCTCCGTCCGGCCGCACGGACACGCCACGAGCGGAAGGTGAAGAAGGCGATGAGGGAGAAGAGTACGCAGAGGATCCAGATCAGGACGGTGCCGGCCTGGACCATGCGGCAGCGATGCTCGGTGTCTGCCGAGCCGAAGCCGATCCAGTCGCTCTCCGTGGCGCTGCTGATGTCCCCGCAGTCGACGACGCCCAGCACGGCCGACAGGGCGATGGCGTCGGCGAGGGTGGCGAGGGAGGCGACGCCGTCCAGGGCCAGCTGGACCAGGGGCGCCGACGCGAGCACGGTCGCGCAGAGGGACGCCAGGCCGTACAGGCTCGCGACCCAGCACCATGCCACGACGGACACGGTCCAGGCCAAGATGGCGGTCTGGTGTCCACCGCCGACGCTGTCGGATAGCACGCTGCCGTGTAGGCCGGTGGCGGCGACGGTGACGACGAGGGCCGTCGCCCTCAGGTTGGCGTCGATGATGGGTGATGACGACATATTTTTGGGTGCGTAAGTCTGTTCGGTATAGATTCAAGATGTCCCCCCCTCCCAAAAAAAAAAAGCAGAAGAGAAACGATTGAAAAAAGGTAAGTTTTTTTTCTTTTGCCGTTGGCCGAGAATATTTCTATCGCGTTGACAGAGAAGGAGGAAGAGGATAAAGGGCCTTTACAGCCAAACGAATGAGACGATGCGCAGAAGCAAACGAGAGAAGAGGTAGATGAGCATACAGAGAGAGAGAGAGTCAGGATGGAAGGAAGGCGGGGAGGGAATACGATATGTATATATTGCGTCTTCTGCGGTGATATACCCCCCCTCCTCCATCAAGCAATGACCTCACAGTACACGGTTGGTAGGATATATCAAGGTTAACCCTGGTTTTCTGCCCTCTCCGTTGATTGATGTGCGGTGCATTGCCGGAAAGGGGAAACGAGGTTGAAAGACACGCATCAACCTCATTGAGAAATGCTCCTCTTCCCAACCGCTTTGTTCTACTTCTTCTTCTCCTTCTCTTCGTATTTCTTTTTTTTTGGGGGGAGTTCTCTCCTTCTAACCGGCACAAGCGAACAAAAAAAAAGAAGAGAAGAAGAAGAAATAGGAAGAGAGAGAGAGAGAGAGAGAGAGAAGAGCTTGTCTTTCTGCTCTGATCTCTTGGCACACTGTAAATAACATCCAACCCCCCTTACCTGTGCTGAGTTGGCATCATGTGTGTGTAGAGAGTGAGAGGGAGTGGGAGAGAGAGAGTGTGTGCGCGTGTGTGTACGAGTACTCGTATGCGCGGTAGGAGCAAACTCTCTTATTTCATAGGTGAGGAGGGCAGGGATATGGAACAAGAATGTCGTCATACTGCAGGCACAGGTCAGGGAAGACCAACGGCCAGCCAGAGCATATCGGAGAGTGAAGAGAGGGTGGTGACACATACGTCGTATCCTTACCGGAAAGGGTACGAGACTGGATCGACTGAGCAGCTCCGCGTCTCACAGCTCTGTCTACTACCTCTCGTTCTACGCTTGGCTGCGTGTGGCTGCAGTCAAGATGGAATATGTCTCTAGATTTTGATGACGAAGCTTTCCCATGTCTTTTCCGATCCTGATTGATGAACCTTTTTTTTTTTTCTTTTCTTTCTCTTCGTCAAGTGTGAGGGGAGGGAGGGAGAACTGATAAATCGAATTGAGTCGAATAAACATTCCGAAAAAGTATCACGAGCAAGAGGTTGGTGATACCGCTGCAGTATATGGTTCCGACAAGTCTGAAAACGGAGATGATACTAGTACTATGAGGTATTCATCTCTAGATATAACGCATCCACAACGATCAGCAGCTGAGCAGATGAGATGGAAACTTGGTTGGAGGATAGCGGCCCCGGTCAGATACTCTCCTCCAGCACTATGCCGCAGCAAGGGAGGATTAGGAAGAAGAAGAAGAAGAAAAACCACCAAGAGCGTGCATGACCCAGCACATCGAATGTCCATCACAATCTACGATGCTCACTGGGATAACCAAACCACCAGGGACTGGACGAACTTCTCCATTCCTGTCATTCCTGTCCTCCTTCTTCCCTCTCCTCCCCCCCCCCCTCTCTCTCCTCCCAACCTGTCCGATCAAACTTGCTGGTTCCAAACCTTGCTGCTGTTGACATCACCAGGAAACTCTCTCTCTCTCTCTCTTCTCCACAGTCAACGCTTCCTATATCATCTCATCCTGGTCCTTCCCATGGTACTTCTCTCCGGAAAAGAAAAAAAGACAAAAGAAAAAGAGTGGGTAGAAAGGAGTAGCTTCCTCTCTCTCTTCATTTGGAGTGACACTCTCCTCTTCCCCCCCACACCAAGACCTCCAAGGCAAAGCAAAAGGACCAGGACGAGTGATACCGAAACTGATTACATGCAATCACACCACATTTACTGTCACTCTAGGGTCTATTCTATTTTACCGGCCTCTTTTTCGTGAGGCAATCCAAGCCGAGCCGTCCTGGGTCTCCCCCTCCCTCCTCCCCCCTTCCCCTGACAAGTCTGTCTGAGACTTGGGGTCATTGAACTTTTTTTTTTTTTTTTCCCTTTTCGTAGGATTTTCTAAGAGGCTTGTACCCTTATTCCCCCCCCCCTTTTTTTTTTTTTTGTGACCCGTGAAAGCTTGATTAGGTTGGTCTTGGTGCTCGTTCTCAGTCATTGGTGAAGTTGCGTATCTTCCACATTAAGGCTGATATTCAACCCCCCCCCCCCCCCCCTCCCCCTTCTCGCTAGAATTCTCTTAAGCTTCATGCTAACAAGCCTAGAATGAAGCCAGGAACCATGAAGACGTTTTGACAAGTTGGTGGATACGGCCCACCTTGGTCACTGTCGCTGATCCCCTTTCTGTTTCGTCGTCATTCCTTTCTACTACTGTTACCTGTATTACTACCACGTTTGACGCCATCTCTCTCTCTCTTCTCTTTGGAGGGTCTTTCCTTTCCTTTCCTCTACTTCGTACATTCGTCTCTTTCAAAAGGAACCAGAGAATAGGAAAATTCTGACCAATAGGACCGTGTCTTGAAGACGCTGCTTCATCTCGTTAAATAACGGCGTCAACTCTGCCTGTTGCTTCTATCTGCTTTACCTTGCTACAGTTTGCCTCACCTTGCCCTTCCCCCCCCCCCCTTCCCTCCCAGAAAAAGCCCCGAAATTGAAGCTGAGAGTAGTGATACAGACAAAAATCTTGATGCGTGTCCTGGGCCGATCGTTTCCAACAAGAGGTAGATCATGTCGTAGTATCATCTCACGGGCCTCTGCTTTCTCTTGCCCTACTTGCCCCTCCCCCTCCTCTCAAGAGGGAAAAGGTAGGCACAGGAGGACTAATGATAAGACAAGGGTCTAATTCAATGCACGTAGATCCGATTCATGAGAAGAAGAAGAGAGGACGTGTATGGACCGGGATAGGGGAAATAAGATATTTTTCTTACAAAAAAAAAAAAAGCAAGTATAGTTACATGGCGTAGGAGGGGGGAGAAGCCATCCTGCCAAAGTTGAAGTACTATTATAGATTATTGGGTAATCTTTAAAAGATTGTCCCGCCAAACCGGAAGTGGGAAAAAGTCGTCCTGCCAAGTCGGAACTGGAAAAGTTGAAAGTGAAAAAAAAAAAAAAAAGGGTTGTCCTAGAAGATGTCCACTTGTTCAGAGAAGTTGATTGGCATGGTCATCCGTGTCACCGATACTTGTCCATGTGTGTGTGTGTGTGTGCTGTCATCCGAACCCCAAACTTACTTGGCATATGATTCTAGTAAGAGAGAAGAAGGGAGAAAAGGCCTCCCCCCTCCAAGACTCGCCGCCCCACGATTACCAAATACTGGGAAAAGAGGGGGACCGATGGGTTGGAAACGGTCCCCGTCAACCCGACAATCTGGAGCTAGGAGAACGACGACGACGACGACTACTACTACTACTACTACTACTACTACTACTACTACTACTATGCACTCGACCAAACTCTTACTACCGCCAGGCTCGATACCAGTCTACCCATGGTAGTGATATATGCAGTGGTGGTAATTGGACTAGCAGTAATCTGTAGAAATCGTGGGGATTTTCCTCCTCGTGGCGTGCATACGACAACCCCAGGGTCACGTACCAGACTGCATCTCTCCAGCGTCATCATCTTGCTTGGATCCTCTTACGGTGCCGTCCTCCCCTCCCCTCCCCTCTCCCATCGTCTCCCTCAAAAGGTATAGTATTACTCTGTACTTTGTGGAGCCGTGGACCGCAGCCATTATTATCTGTTGCTCCTACTACAGGTACCGCAATGTACCAGTAACTAATACACGTTACATACGTACTAGGTAGTTGGGTGATTACGAGTAGCAGTAGTAGGTAGCAGCAGCAAGCAGTAGCAGTAGTAAGTAGTAGTAGTAGTAGTAGAAGTAGTAGTAGTAGTAGTAATAGTAGTAGTAACAGTACGACGGGATTATCTAGTAACGGGTGGAAGACGCGACGTCAGCTAGCGTAGCTGGTGAGGCATCCTCTCCAAGTACATGACGGCTCTATGGTCAGGAATGCAGCGGGCCGATGCAAGATGGAAGGTTGACTGCCAAGACTGTTATACATATGAAGGTGTTGTAGATGGGTAGCATGACCATTGACGGGACTTGTAGGAGTGAAGGGGGGGGGGGGGGGGGGGGGGGGAAGATGTCATGTAGGGAAAAAAAAAAAAAGGAAATATATATATATATATATATATGTGTGTGTGTGTGTACTTTGCATATTCTTTTACAAGAATAAAGCCATTGGAAATACACACTGGGATCAAGAATAAAATGGGATGTCGTATGCCACAGGAGATAAAGATAAAAAAGTGTATATATGTATATATGAAAAAGAAAAAAGAAAGTAATAACTAAACTTGATTATAAAACAAATTATAAACAAAAAAAGTCATGATGATCGTGAAAAGGCGCCAGCTCCGTCTAGTACAGATTGGCGGAAAGTAGCAAAGTGTATGCAGGAAGAGAGATGCATTTCTCCACCGGGTTGCATATACTGTGTGTGTGCATGTGTGTGTGTGTGTGTGTGCCTCGTGTTTTTTTTTTCCTCAATTTTTTCTTTTTTTCTCTTGCCTCCTCGGGTCAACATCAATCCCATCCTCCGTGTTCTTAAGGATGGGGAACTCCTCCCCTGTCAAGAGCGGCCCACCATGGATATGCCCGATCTAAGTTCAGAGACGTATGCAGGAGGGTAGTAAACTTCCCAGAGAGAAGAAGAGGTATGAGGATTGTGATGATGATGGTAATGTGAGTGAGTGAGTGAGTGAGTGAGTGTGTGTGTGTGTGTGGGGGGGGGGGGGGGGGGGGGGGGGGGTGTTTCGCTTCCCCGTCACACACACGCCTCATGAGCATTTTCCATCCATCTCTCGTCTCCTTCATTCTCAAGTATTC